AATGTCACCAAGCTCTCTCTCTCTCTCTCTCTCTCTCTCTCTCTCTCTCTCTCTCTCTCTCTCTCTCTCTCTCTCTATCTATCTATCTATCTATCTCGCTCGTAGTCTGCTGATGCAGTGAAGTCAGATAGCGAGACGGTGAGAAGGAGATGGTGGACTGAGAAGAGGAAAAAGAAGAACTCTCTCTCTCTCTTGTGCCAGGTACTAACCTGTGAAGATGGCGCTGTGCTGCAGGTACCTCGAAGACAAAGCTGGAGCAATGGCGCTGCAGGTAAGTCCCTCTGGCCTCCACCCAATCTCTCTCTCTATAGTACTACTCTAGCTGCTATGGGGCCCAGCGCTGAAAACTACAGCTAACGCTACTAGCGCCCAGCGCTGAAGACTACTGCTAACGCTACTACTACTCCTGCACCGCTCCTCCAGAGTGCTGCTGCCGAATCCTGAAGACTACCCCCTGCCTCCTGAACTGCACGTGAAGTGCCTGGGAAGTACCTAGGAACTACCTGCTGGCCTTCAGGGCGGGCCAGTCCTATATAGTGCTGGCCCGTCCAGGAGGTTGCTCTTGCCAATGCCTCAACGTGCCAGACCCTGGGGTTGAAGCTCAAACAAAGGTTTTCTTAAAAATAGGCCAGAAATGTCCTGAGCTAAAGCCCTGGTCTGGTGCCTGAGTTTCGGGGCAGGCCGAACTCATGAGGACCCGGATATGACCCTCAGTTTCAGGCTGAAAACACTCAGGGCCGGAAAGGCCCTGATTTAGCCTGAAACAATACAGGGCCTGTAGGCCCTTGTTTTCAGGCTTTCAGGCTGAAACGACACAGGGCCTGTAGGCCCTTGTTTTCAGGCTTTTGGCCTGAAAACGTCACGGGCCTGGAAATGGCCCGTGCAGCCTGTTGCAGGCGCAGCATGTAACACTATGGAGGGTAAGAGAAGAATGATGGATCAGAAGAGGAAGAAGAAGAAGACTACTCTCTCAGAATGTCGGATCAAAAACTGGACCCGGATCAAATCCTGGATGCTAATAAGCCTGAGGACTGGCCCAGCTATATGCCTCTGGGCCTGGCTGGATGCCTTGTGGTCTGCAATCAGGGCTGTGCGATCTAGTATCCGATCGGCGGTCCTGATTGGGGGCCCAAGTCCTGGTCCTATGATCTGGCCTGAAACGGCTTGCATGGGTCCCTACCGCCCTTCCAGGGCATCCTGCTATTGCTGCAGGCACCTGAGGGCTGGGGCAGACACAAACAGACAACCGCCTGATCCAGTCGTAACTACGGACAGGGCTGAACCTGGCCTACCCTCGCCTGCATCGAAAATCCAGTGGTCCGAACAGGCAAATGCCTGTTCAGACAAAAAACAAAAGCCTGAAATGACACATCTAAGATACTCGGCATCACCAACATAAGTATCCAGAGCCCTTCCCCTACTGTTATGTACCCGATTGAAATTCAATGCACAATGAATCCACACGTTCCCATACGTGCATGCAATTGCAGAGTAGACTCGAAGGAGGCAAATCCACGCAAAACCGAAGACAAGATATACACCGCGGAAGCTCAAAACACACAAGGAATTGAAAAACGGATTTCAATTCTGCAATCCCTCGTCCTCCTCCCATCAATCCAGAGTACTTGTTACAAGAATCACAACCGCCTTTACAACAACCAGGAACAACCAAAACAAGTGTACAACGAATTATGCAGGAGTCTTCTTCTTCCTCCTCGCCACATGATACCGCTGGCTATGGCTGCCGTAGCAGCAGTAACCCCACAGCTGTCACAACGTGGCAATCTAGACCAGCAACCCCAATGATAACAGCGCCAGCTCACCACCCGCATGGAAATGCAGCGCTGGAAGTCCTGATGAAGAAGGAGACAACCGATCCAGCACTTCGACGAAGACGAAGCTCCTCGTGAGGAGCAACAGCAGATATGGCTGCCAAGTGGAAGATGGCAGCACCCCAAACCAACAACACAGTCCTGTGGAAACTCTCATTCAGAGCTGCAAAATAGCAGCAGTGCGATCATCAATTTTGTTTCCCAACCCTCAGCTATGGCTGAGCTTCGAGGAAGAAGACGACCCGCCCAAAATGCAGCAGCAGCGCTCCAACAACGGATGGGCAGAGTTTCCCCAGCGAACGAAAACGTGGGAAGCCCCAAACCAAATTTCCTGCCCGCTACTTCTACCATCTGCCTAGACCTACGACGGACTCCGAAGGCAACAACCCAATACTCATCTGTATCTAGATGGAAACAGCGGGAAAAGGGGACCTAGACCTATGACAAGGCGAAAGGAAAAGGCCAAATGGCCTGAGGCTACCAAACAGGGATTACTAGTGACAGACCCAGGGAGCAAGTCCCATAGGGATCAACACTCACAAACCAAACACACTGGTTACAGGTCATGGGATCTAGTCCCGCAAGGCTCAAAACAAGAAAACAAACTACAAAGCCAAACACTTAGTGCACAGCCCCACTGGGAAACTGTGATTTATTACACTACTATCACGCAGCTACTACCAGCCTATGAATTGACAACGCAACTGTTGACGTCGGCAGCATAACCGAAGTACATGAAGATGTCGACCCTTGTAGACTATAGCCAAGACCAGGTACATGCACTCATATCATCATTCTCATCTCTCTCTCTCTCTCTCTCTCTCTCTCTCTCTCTCTCTCTCTCTCTCTCTCTCTCTCTCTCTCTCGCCCCCCCCCTTCGTCTCTCACCCACATCTTCTCCCTCATACACAGAGACCACCACCACCTCTGCTGACCCTGTCCAAGCCCAGCCTGGCTATGGCTGGCTATGGCTCTGCGCTCAGCAGCGCCCTGCTTCTGCACGACCACACACGCACATGCACTCTTGCCTTGCACTAGCGCAGCAGCCCGCAAGCACTTCGCTCCAGCAGCGCTGCCTCGTCAGCAAGCAAGTGCCCGAATGTGTTCCCCAGCGCCCTGCCCTTCCTATATGGAAAGTGGCGGGCGCTTTGCCTCTGCCTTCCATGTGAGGCCAGAGTTTCCAGCAGCTTCGGTCTCGGCCAAAGTGTCTGCGCCCAGGCCCTTTCAGACAGTGGCCTGGAACCGAATTGGTTAGGCAT